AGTTTTGTGGGCCCTGTATAGCTTCAATTAAGGAAAAAGTTTTTTTAAAAAAAAACATTCCAAACAATTTTGCACTCCATTTTGCACCAATAGTCAATCATGTAATATAAACTTGAGCTTTGTGGATTTAATAATTTAAATATTTTTACCTTTAAATATAGTTACATTTAATATTTAGCAGTTTAACAATTATTTTTAAAATGTGTAATTATTTAAGATAGATTTGTGTCAAGTTTTTAACACAATGAAGTTAATACTGTGTGAGGTTAAAGTCAGTGTATTGCTTATTCAAACTGAATTTTTTTTAAAAAAAATACTTAATAGGATTGAAATTTTACAATTTGCACCTGGTCTGACAGATTGTATGGTAAATTTTGAAAAGTAGCACAACAAAAGTAGCACAACAAGGAGTGAAATATTGCATGAAAAAACCTGAAAAATCACTTCATGTCTGGGAAATAATGAATTCATTTGGCAGATCACAACACTGCTGCCGGTAGCATGCCTGCAACTTAGTAAGGTAGCACTAAGGACTTTGCATTCTATGATCCTTGCTGTCCAAGCTTGGCATAAAAAATATATCAAGAGTTGTTTTCTGTTTGGAGTATGATAAAGACACTTTTAACCCAGTTCTTTTAAGACCACACTATGCTCAAGTGTGTGAGCCTAGTCATTTGCTTTAGGGTTTTGTGAAATGTGCCTGTTCTGCATTTGTTGAAACCAGTGGTGGGATTCAAAAAAATTACTACTGGTTCTGTGGGCATGGCTTGGTGGGCATGGCATGGCTTGGTGGGCATGGCTTGGTGGGCATGGCAGGGGAAGGGTACTGCAAAATCTCCATTCCCTCCCCACCCCTGGGGGAAGGTTACTGCAAAAGCCCATTCCCTCCCCACCTCACTAACCTGCTTTCCAGCTCCATTCTCCTGTGCAGGGCAACAAAAGAAGACCCAGCCAATCAACTGGGAGTGGGACTCAGGAACCAGATAATAGATGGGGGTGGGGCCAGTCAGAGGTGGTATTTGCTGGTTCTCTGAACTACTCAAAAATTCTGCTACCAATTCTCCAGAACTGATCAGAACCTGCTGAATACCACCTCTGGTTGAAACCAAGGTGTTCCTCGAATGTGGAAGTCAAGGTGATGGCCCCAAGGGTGTGCTTGAAGACTTGTCTATATTTTGTATGTGGAGCTTCACTGTGGCCACTTATCTTGAGTGTTTTCTCCACACCTGGTGGACACTCCTGGTTAAAACAGACTCTGAACTATACAGGAGTCTCAGTCCTAAGGATGAGATGGTTGCTAATTCTCAGATGTACTTTTTTCTGCTACTGACACTTGCTGTAGGATATATTTCTGCTGCTGTTCTCACTTCAGATAGCGCTGTTGAATGTAACACTTTAATGAAGTTGTGGCAAGCTGTGCTATCACATTTCAATTTCTGCATTTTGCTCTGGTTTTTCCTTCATTGAAAGTTAGCTAGTCAAAATGAAACCCACACATCCCTATTTACAAATTTAACAAGATGAGGGAATTATACCAGAGAGTTGGTTTTTTTAAGTTTATCTTCTGCTTTTTCTCCTGAATTATAAAATAGTGTTCACATGAAGTTTAAACATTTGTACAATATGCCAGTGGATTGTATATTAATATAACTCTTTACTGATGAAGAAAAGGAAATCTGGAAATGATTGAAAAAATACAAGCAGTGGATATGGTAGATTGGGCCAATCCATCACTTTATCTCTAGCCTTCTGTATACTTTCTACAGGAAAATTCTTGAGAAAATTATCAATTTTCTCCAGTTTGATACTTGGCTTTTTGTTTGATGCTTTTGAACTACTTGGACATAACTTTAATGAAAAATTTATGTTTTAAATTGAATTGCAAAGGAGAAACAACAAAACAATGTGTGTGTCTCTGTTTATTTCGGTTTAAGATTTGTTTAACTATGAGAATCAAATGCTATCTAAACTGCACTGATTTGGTCAAAAGCTACAAAAGAAGCTCTGAACTCTGGAGGAACAAGATGTAGTTATGGTTAATTATGAAACTAGTTACCAGCAAATTAATGGTACATAAATTTGTCAACAGCAATTCTGTTGAAGGAGGGACATTTTGAATTTGTTAAAGCATTGACATGCTCAGTAGAGTAACCTGGCACTAATTTATACTTCTAACATACAGTTCATGAACAAGTTCTTGAATGATTATATTTTTTTAAAGAGGAGGAGGAGGAAAAGGAGGAGGAGGAGGAAAGAGAAATTTGAGCCTGTATTATCTAAGGATATGCCAAACTTTCAAATACTTTAAATACCTAAGAAACTATGTTTAATAAACCCTCTATTAATAAAAATAATATAGGACAAATGTCAGTCCTGGTATAGATAACCTAGCACAGTGTTTGTTGAAGCCTCTTCTGCAGCTTGTGGCACATAAATCAGTTTTGAGGGGCTAATGGAGTCTGGATTAACACAGAGTTTTAGGAACAACAAATATGCACACCATACTTACTTCATTATCAGGTAATGAACCACACCTATTAAGAACAGCTGCCTCTGCATTTAAAACAATTTAAACCCAGTCTTCATTTTATTCAGCATATTCAGCCAAGGCACCAAGCTAGCTTTTATACTTTTAAAAAATGTGGTTTCACCCATGCAGCAGCATTAAGATAAAATAAAGGAGGGGGAAGGAAAGTGGGGAGGAGAAGAAGAAAGGAAGGAAGGAGAAGAAGAGGAAGAGGAAGAGGAAAAAGAAGGAGGAAGATGGAAAAAAGAAGGAAGAAGAAAAAGAAAAAAAAGAAGAAGGAACTTCTCCATTATTCTGTTTCCTGCAGGGCAACATGTAGGGCATGAATACATTATTTTGCTTTCATCTCTTTCCAGGAACAGATATTAGAGAGATGCTCTCTCCACCTATTGAGGTTCCAGTGTGCACAGTGGGGAAAGAATGAGGGCTGCAAAGAAAATAAGGCAGAGGCCATGTTCCTGTATGCAGAAATCCCTTCTTAGAGTGCTTGAATCTGGCAACAATCCACACTCTGCTCCCTTTAAAGACTCCCAGAGGACTAAAAGTGGCTTTGCACAGCTTGGTCCTTCCAAGTGTTTACCGTGTCATTTGTTGTTACGCAGCACTTCAAATGTAAGTCTCCTTGGGAAAAATCAATCACTGAAACTGTGCCCACATGTAAACAAATTGTATTGTAGAAATAGACAGGAGATCTTGTCAAATTCTTTTCCCATCTCTGAGAAGCAAAATGGAGCAATGCCCCTCCTATCTACAGAGAAATGGTACTTAGCATACATTTTAAAAGGGCAAAAATTAAGAAGGCATGAAAAATCCTGAACAGTTGCTTTCCAAAGAGGCAATGCAAAAAAAGGGTGATGTTCTGAGGCTAGATTCAATAAACATTCCTTGCACTCCTTTCTGTCCTGGAAGACTGCCTTGAATTGATCGGTGTGCGTTGATGTAGCCTTGCAACAACTCTTGTGAAAGAAATCTGGTTAGAACTGTTTTTATTGATTCTGCTGCTATAATTTTTATAGAGCTTTTTAACCAAAGAAACTTAATACATATCATTAGAGCAGGCGGGGGCGGGGGGGGGTGTTTCTTCATGTACTTTAGAAGACCACACCATATACTGACCATCTAAATATTGGTTCCTCCTAACTTTGGAAGTACTGTTGGCAAAAGGCAAAAAAGAGCAGGTGGTGGATCCTGAGGGTTTGGAAATATATTAATATCTGGAAAATATAATATGAGAAACAAAGTGGGGGGAGAGAGAGATGTCAGAAAGAAAACTAGAAACAGGAGCATGAGAGAGAAAGAGTTGCTTTCACTCACTTCTGCTAAGGCCTGGCTACCACTTACTCCGGTGCTATGTGAAATGATTTAGCACATTACCCTGTGATAACAATCCCCTTGATAGGAAAAAAAAAAACCAACCTTATTGGAAAATGCTTACACACTAGGTAGAACTGCAATGATGGTTCAGTTTCCAGGAAGAGGGAATGGGAAGTCCTCGTTTCTTTTCCTCTACTTTCCTCTGCAAGAAAATATTCCAAGAAGAAGATGGATGTGACTTTTTGTAGGGGGCTATTTTAAGGTAAATACTGGTTGAAATAAGGTGTTTCTGGTTATAATCAAGCCACCCAAAGTAGCCCCACAGTGAAATGAGCATAAATAAATTTAAGAAATAAATAATCAAATAATTATCACCCCTTCAATGAAAAACTTAAAAAACTGCTCACATCACTATCCACTTATAAGATGGAAAGCAATACATGTTTGTGGTGATGTGCATTTGTCCTTCCTGGAAGATGTAATCCCTGAAAGATGGGTAAAACAATAATCCATCACACTATGATACTGCTACAATTTACAGCTCAAGTCTGGGAAAGCCCAGGCTTCAACCTATGTTGGTCTGTGAAATCCATTCTGTGATTTTGGACCAGTCAGACTTTTATGAAGATAAGATGAGTTGGATAAAATTCTTCAATATTTATTATAGGGATAATATAATAGTTTACCAGTGGAGAGTCAAATAAAGAATCTGTTTCCTCCAACTTTAGTACTGTGTAAAAGTATGCACAAAGTCTCCAAATATAGAAACATTCCTCACTGAAGAAGCCATTCCTTCATATGTGGTGAAACAATCAGAATTCCTGAAATGCATGCAGCTCTGTAAGACTAATTGTTGTATCAGCCAAAACACAATATAGAGTGCTAATACAATGTCTCAGAAATAGTACTACCTGTTGAAGTTCTCAGTTTCGGTGGCTCATAAAATATATTTTCCTGGATATTACAATTTTGGAACAAGGGTGGTTGTTGTTTGGGATAATGTGGTATGAAATCCAATTCATCTGAAGGCCACTGGATCAGGAAAGGTACCTTATAGAAATATCCTATTGTTAAGTATAATGACATCATTAAATTAATTAGCTTAAAGGAATGTAATGGATAAAGAAATATTTAATTGCTTTGTGTTCTTTCATTTCAGTTTCTCCAAAGATAAGTCATATCTCAAATGATATTGTGGCGAACGAAGGAAGCAACATCACACTGGCCTGCTTAGCTACAGGGAAACCTGATCCTTCCATCTCTTGGAGACATATTTCTCCATCAGGTACGCTTTAACAATTATTCTAATTCTAACCACTTATCTTTCTTTGTTCTCACTCTGTTGCATACAAGGCAGGAAAAAGTCTTAGGATCCATTTGTTCAGGAATCTAAAATGGTGTTTCTCTGAGAAGTATGAAAGCAAACACATCTCAAAACCTGTTTGAAAATCAGTAATTCAATCCCACTTAATGATTCACAATGGTGAATCTTTGTGATGCAAGTGTTAGTCATTATTTAAAAAAATAGTCATTGATTTGAAACTATTTTTTTATGTTGAGGTACTTGTTTATTCATCACTTTGGTTTTATGTATAAATTAAACAATTTTTCTGGCCAAAGTATATGTATTATGTATAGAAAAATGAAAAAGACTGAAGAAAAATTGCATTGGTTTTCAAATACAGTTTTCATACCAGCCATGATTCTGGCCCAGTGTGAGGGCAACATCTCTTCTTCAAATATCCAAGAATAATGGAACAATACAACCTGCACAATTAGCAGACAAAAAGGAGGTGACAGATGAGTAGCATTGCATGAGACAGGTCACCTTTTGTTGAAGGCTGAGTAAGTACTTGTCCTGGGTACCAAAGTTTAGAGGACACCAAATACTGCCCCTCCTTCTGAATCATTCTAAAAATTATTCTAAATATGCAATTCTTTGCAGTGGCTGGAGGTACACTATCAATCAGTATGTTTTAGGGACCTCCTATACCTTGAACCAGCACTGGGACAAGACCTTTGGCCAGTTGTCCAGATGAGAACCCAATTTTGGCCTTCCTTTGGCAGAAGCAGCATGTCAAAAAATTATCCTGTTGCCTGATTTATACAATATTTTCCCTCTAATAAGTCATGAAAGTTATACATTGCATGGAAATATGAATAGTGATTTTGCATTTGCCTGTAATAATGGAAAGAAATTTAAGGAGATTCAATTAAGCAACCTTGGAAAGGGCTAGAAAGTGCCCATCAGCATCATTGCCTTTTTACTTTGTACTGTATACCCTCACCAACCCATTTGGATATGCTGAAGCTCTTTAAATTTTTTAAATACACAGATTTGTTAAATATATATGTGTATACTATGAGGATATTATCATTATACTCATAAGCTCTGCTTTCCTTCACCCTTGAGTAAAATAGAACTGTAAAATCTGGACAACTACTAGATAGCATCTAATGTCTTTGGCACTGTCTACTGTAATGATTGTCTGGAGTTTTGCACTCCAGATATGGTGGCCTAACTTTCTATGGTACTTATTCAGCGAATTCATAAGCACGCATATACGTATACATCTATGACAATTGCCATGACCATAATCAATTTCCCACAGTCAACTCACCATAGCCAACTTGCAGGGGGACAATTCACCATGGCCAACTCGTTGCAGGACAACTGACTGCGAGACAAGAGTGACACTAATATCAAAGAAATGGTGGAATAGAATCATTAAAGAAAGGATAAAAAAGGAGGAACAGAATGAAATGTGAATGACAAAAATTAAAATAATTTTTAATTTATTTTAAATAATTAAATTGAATTGTAGAATTGTCCCACGGTGAATTGTCCTGTGGCAAGTTGGCCATGGTGAGTTATCTTGTGGTGAGTTGGCTGTCATGAGTTGGACGCAGCAAGTTGGCTGTGGCGAGTTTGTCCCATTACCGATACAGATACACATATGCATGCAAATGCAGAGACACATATTCAGAGACAGTAGTGGTATGCTGCGGGTTTGGACCGGTTCAACTGAACCAGTAGTAAAAAAAAAAAAAAAGCCTCCAGCGATCAGCTAAAAGGAGGAAAAATATCCTCCACAATCAGCTAAAAGGAGAAAGAAGAGAGAAGCCAGAATCGGCCTGCCCACCTGCCCCTGCACTTTTCTCTTGTTTATCCTCTCAGCTGATTGGCACTGCATATCTTAGTTGAAGTGGGAAAAGCTGCATGCCGGCATTAGGCAAAGCACACCCACCAGGCCACGCCCGCAGAACCAGTGGTACAACAATTTGAATCTCACCACTGTTCAGAGATACACAGAGAGAAAGACAAAAATAGATATTACAGTTCTGAAAGTCATAGTCTTCAACTTATGACTGTTCATTTAATCATCCTTCGAAATTGCAGCAGAAGTGAAACAGGTGACTTACGGTTTTCACACATGTAACTGCTACAAGCATCCCCAAATGATCAAAATTCAGGCTCTTGACAATTGGCATGTATTTATGACAGTTTCGTTGGTATCATGTGATTTGTAACTTTCTCACCTGACTTCTGACAAGCAAAGTCAGTGAGGGAAGCTAGATTTGCCTAATGACTGTATGGGTCACTTAATAACTGCAATGATTTCCTTAACAACTGTGGCAAAAAGATGGTAAAATGGGGAATGCTCACTTAATGACGGCCTTCCTTAGGAACAGAAATTTTGGGCTCAATTGTGAGCATAAGTCAAAGACTACCTGTATCTTAAATGGCTCAAAACAATTTTGTCCAATTGGGAGTTCCGGTTTGTCAGGCTTCGGAGGCGGCAGGAATTCGCGTTTGTGCGCGATCCCTGCCCCGCTCGCTGCCGGAGTGCCTCCGATCCAGCTGGATTTGGAGGCTATTAGTTATCCTGTAGGGATAACTGAAGATAGGGGAGATCTGGGCAGGGGTCTGGGGGCATCGCAACCCTCTTCCCCAGCCAGCTTAACTCCCTTTTCCAAAGGCGGTGGAGCGGCGGTCAGCAATGGCCGCCACAAAGAACCTCTCAGCCGGACAAGTTTTGTGCAGGAGGAAGTTGAGAAAGTGAAAGTTTTTGGCTGAACCAGGACAACAAGCAACATCTGAATACCCTGGAACTTTGGCTCTTTAAGTGATACATTGTTTCCCAAGAAGATCGTAAAGCTGCGGTTGAAAGTGAAAGTGAAAGCTTTTTTTTTCTCCTCACTTTCCTTCCCTATGGAGATAGCAGATGGAAATCGGAAATACCCGCTTTGGCAGCAGAAGGTAACTAACTTTGAAAATTAAAGCCAAGGGGACATTAGATTTCTAAATACTGACATTTAAAAATTAAAATCTTTTTGCAATAAGTGGGAAGGAAGAGAGGTAAATGATTTATACCAAGATTTGTTGAAGGAGACTGCTTGGAGCTTATAAAATCAGAGATTAAATTGCAATAAAACTTCAAAGAATTACCTTGGAATTGTGTAATTGAATTCTACCCCAGGAAGAAAAAGTATTAAAAGAAGAAAGTGTTAAATGAAACAGTTTGTGCTGATTTTGATTGCTTGATGACTTTGGGACTTTTGTAAACTATCTTTTGAAAGACTAAAAAAACATTTGGATTGTTTAAAAAAAATTCACAATGGTATCTGTTGAAGAATTGAAAATGGAATTTGAAAAGTTAAAAGAAGAAGAACAAGAAGGCAAGGGCTCTTTTGGATCTATTTTTCGCTTCTTAGAAATTAGGAAATGCAACAACAAGAAGGTTGGGATGAAGAAGAAGAAGCCATCTTTAATGGACAATTGAGGAAGAAAAGGCAAAAAAGGAAAAGAAAATGGAGAATTTAAGTTCTAAAAAAACAACCAAGAAAGGGAAAAATAAGGTGAAAAATCGATATAATGTCAGAAAGCAACAGAAAAGAGGAATACAACAGAGAGGGGAGACTAAGAGGGTGGAGATTGAGAGGTGTGGGGGGGTAAAAAGGCTAGATTTGACAAGGAAGGAAGGGAAAAAGTGAAGAGAAGTTATAAAGGCTTAAAACAAGACATTAAAAACAGGTTTTTTTCAGAGACAAAGGGTAAAATATAATCTAAAAAGAGATTCTGCAAAAGTACATAAGATTGTATTGTAGTATCTGTATTTGAAATAGAGTTAGAAAATTGGAATAACATATGTGTTAATAGAACATTGTAGGGAATGTGTAAAATGTCTAAGATTTAACTAATAGAGTTTAATTAATTAATTTGTTATGGAACATTGTTTTTACCATACTATAAGCCTATTATGTTTTTTATTTTAAAATGTTATGTAGAATGTACTAAGCAGAATCAGAATGGAAATTATGTATTATTTTAAGTGTTAAATTTGGAGGAAAGATAGAAAGGTGTCATACTTCAACCAGGAAAAAGTTTGTATTAAAGAGAAAAGATAAATAGATAATTGAAAAAGAATGGACAAAAGATACAAGTATAATGATTTAAATTGAGATTAAATAAATAAAATAGAATTAAGAGAGTGAAAAGAGGGGAGAAGACATATAGAAAATATAGAATGTTAAATAAGATATGAAATAGTATATAAGGTGAGCATGAATTTGATTTATGTCTGTTACAAAAAGTTGTAACCCGGGGTTAAGCCGCTTTCTAAAAAGAAGTTTTAAGTTTTTATGTTATGTTTTGTTTGTTTATGTTTGTTTATTGAGAATTAATAATGTTGGATAAGAACATATGAAAAGTAATAATATGAAATATAGTAATATGAAATAGACGAAAGTATAAGTTTAATGAATAAAATTGAACAGAAGTAAAGGAAGAAACAGTGAGAAGTTGGAAAAAGAGTAATAAGATATGGAGTTGAATACATAAGATGCATATTAAATTGTGTTTGTATGGAAATGTGATGATTTGGAATTATGTTGTACTTAAATAAGATGTTTTATTTGTTTTGTTAAGCAGTTTTTAGAAAAGATGTTCTATGTTTTTATGTTTTATGTTTTGTTTGTCTGTGTATTGTCTTTGAAAATTAATAAAATTTGTTTAAAAAAAAACAATTTTGTCCAATTGTCATGAAGAATAACTCAGTTTTGCTTCCATTCTTTCCTCTCTATTTCAGTCCTTCACCTCCCTATCAGAATTAGACCTAGATTTAATCCTCCTGAAAAGGTCTCATATGGTTTAAGGCAATATCTATTGAATAGAATAGAATAACAGAGTTGAAAGGGACCTTGGCAGTCTTCTAGTCTGGAGACAAGTTGTTCCACTAATTAATTGTTCTGTCAGGAATTTTTAACATAGTTCTAGGTTGATTC